ATTTTGTTTAAAACAGTGTCATAGTGTAGGAAACCAGAAAGAATTGGAAACACAAATGAAAGAAAGAGACTGCTCCCTGCAACTTTTAGCCATGAGAGTAACAGTATACATTTAGATAGAAAAGGCTATGAGATTCCAAAAAATTCAAACACAGTATTGAGTTTCAGAGAATAGCGGGATATAACCCAGTCCTTGGTGGTCAGCTGAACCATATTATGATTGTTTTTAACGTGGAAAGAAGAAGACTCTGCTCCCTATTTAAAAACCTGCTGTTGAGCTGTGTACTCTCTGTCCCAGCCGATAGTCACAGCCTTGTCCTTACTGTGAGCAGAGTGAGGAACTGACCATCTCACCAGTGTGCAAGCTCTCAGACTTGTTCTTTACTAGAGTAGGTGCAGTCTGGGTGCAGTGATGGTTTCTCTCTGTGCCCAGAGGGCGGCTCCCTCCTTCACTGCCAGGACAGATGTCGGTGTGTGTTCTTCTCCTAGCCAGTAGGACAGATGCAGTCTGTAAACAAAATAAACACAGACACACACACACACCTTCCTGGCTCAGCAACCCTGACCCCTGACAGCAGAGATGAATCATGTTACTCAAAGTAGAAAGTTGCCATCAGTAAGTTAAACTGACAAAAGGGTATCTTAAAACACAATTGCTTTAAATTTAACATCTATAAATTAATATGGCTGGGCACGGTGGCTCACACCTGTAATCTCAGCACTTTGGGAAGCCAAGGTGGGCGGATCATCTGAGGACAAGAGTTCGAGACCAGCCTGACCAACATGGAGAAACCCTGTCTCTACTAAAAATACAAAATTAGTCAGGCGTGGTGACGCATGCCTGTAATCCTAGCTACTGGGGAGGCTGAGACAGGAGAGTAGCTTGAACTCAGGAGGCAGAGCTTGCAGTGAGCTGAGATTATGCCATTGCACTCAAGCCTGGCAACAAGAGTGCGACTCCATCTCAAAAAAAAAAAAATTGCAGTTGATTATGGAGATTGATTGAGAAGTAAACTGCATGATAGAAAGGGGAACATATTAATCAAAAGTAGAATAATAAATTTCATTGTATAATTTTTTTCTTTTTCTCCAAGTTAATATATAAAGGACAATAGCATAGAATTAAAGGTGTTTGTTTTTATTCAAGAATGATTTTTTTTTTTTTTTTTAGGCAGAGTCTCCCTCTGTTGCCCAGGCTGGAGTGCAGTGGCATGATCTCGGCTCACTGCAACCTCCACTTCCTGGGTTCAAGGGATTCTCATCCCTCAGCCTCCTGAGTTGCCGGGATTACAGGTGCTGAGCCACCACACCCGGCCAGGAATATTTACCTTTTTTTTTTTTTATTTGAGACAGAGTCTCGTTCTGTCGCCCAGGCTGGAGTGCAGTGGCACGATCTCGGCTCACTGCAAGCTCTGCCTCCTGGGTTCATGCCTTTCTCCTGCCTAAGCCTCCCCAGTGGGTGGGACCACAGGGGCCCACCACCACTCCTGGCTAAATTTTTCTATTCTTTTAGTAGATACGGAGTTTCACCATGTTAGCCAAGATGGACTCAATCTCCTGACCTTGTGATCCGCCTGCCTCGGCCTCCCAGAGTGCTGGGATTACAGGCGTGAGCCATTGCACCCAGCCAAGAATATTTTCAAAAGCATATCTCTCAGGCTATAAAAATTGAACTTCAAATTGTGTAATCACGTTTATAGCCTGAAGCAATTGGGTCTATTAAAATAATAAGTATTCATTTTATTTCTAAGTAAAAGAGATAAATCAAAGGCCAATAAAACATTTCACTTGGGAAAACTTTCTTTTCAGATGGTTTTCATTCTGATTCTGCTGTTACTTTCAGATCAGTTAATACATAGAAGACGACTACAATTTTGTGTTCAGATTTAGAGTATAAACCAAGTCTCATTTCATTAACTAATATAGACCAATGGGTTGGTTAAGAAAGGAACCATAATTTTACAAAGAGAGTTATCCTAAACTGTGACCAGTTTTCCGGTACTTAATTCTTTTTGTAAAAAAGAATTCATTCGTTTTTGTAAATGGCAAATAAAATTGTATATATGTTGTGTAAAACCTGTGTAGAAATAAGCAGATTGTGGAATGATTACATTGCACTCAGGAACATATGCATACTTATTTTTTTGGTGAGAACATTTCTTGATTTTCAAGAATACAATACATTAACTGCAGTCACCATGTTGAGCAATGTCTCTTAAACTTATTCCTCCTGTCTAACTACAATTTTGAATGCTTTCACTGTCTCCCCAAGTCCCTGCCTCCCAGCCCCTGGTAACCTCCATTCCACATCCTGCTTCTGTGAGTACCATTGTTTGCATTCCACATAAGTCAGATCACGTGGTAGTTGTCTTTTTGTGCCTGGCTCATTTCACTTAACACAATGTGCTCCGTTAACCTCCTGTGAATCCCAGTTTCTAACCTGCAATTGCTCTAAGTGTTTTCATTCCCTTTTCATGGTTTCTACTAAGAATTCCAGAGCTCAGCTGCAATGTGTTCACTGCTTTGGAAGTTATTCATTGTTTTTCTTTACTTCTTGTCCACGGACACACAAATAAATTGTCTGGTGCAAGTGCAGCGGCTATATGCCCTTCCTGTGAAGGCAGGCCGGTTTGACATATATTAAGCAAATCCATCTCAGCATGCTTAACAGCCTTTATATTGTTTGATATCAAGCTCAGCAATTTAAAAAATATGCCTCTGTCTCTGTAAGACTACCTATGAGTTGGAGACGACTTATGTAATATTCAACCCAGCAGATAATGTATATAAAAATTATTTCATATGATTTAATAATCTTGAATCAATTTAACTGTTTATATGTCATACTTGGAAAAACCAGGGCAATTATAATGTTTAATAATGGCATCTGCATAAAAAGCAATAATTCATATTCCACTTTAAAAATCTTTTCTCTTATGTAAAGGGGTAAGTGGCATCCTAGTTGCAACAGAAGGATGTACTGGTGAGCTTGTGTAGCGGTCCCTAAGTTAACGCATGTTGCTTTATTTGACTGACACTGATGTTCCCATCTTAGCTTCCGGCTGTTACGTGGGCAGAAAACCCAAAGTTAGTAACTTTGAACAGTTCCGTCAATGTTAGTAACTCAAGGGCCAAAGTGATGGACTAAACTGCCAGTCGAGTCAATCTCTGGTTCGCCCTCCATGATGACAGAGTGTTTTAAGGTAGTGAGGCAGTGCTTAGTCTCAAGGTAGCCTCCCTTCCCCTCATGCATTACCTGGTGTTTGTGTGCAGGAATGTGGATCCTCTATACATGCCTGGGGTTGTGGGTGTGGGGAGGCGCCTCCAGTGTGCTGGGGTATACCCCCGGAACTCTGCAAGTGCCTCACCCATAGATGCTCCCTGTGGCCTGGTGACAGGGGTCACCAGGCCCATGGAGGCTTACAGTGTGGAAGTTGGAGGCTTCACCATAATCTGTGGCCTGAGCTTGGCCTCAGGGAATATTCCTGGGTGGTGTCAGCTATACATCCTCCTTACTCATGGTCATAGGGGAGCAGCGACTCTCTGGGACTGTGGGATGGGTGGTAAAAGAATTTACCAAGACAATTGTAGGTAAAGAAAGGCAGATTTATTGGACACCACAGAGTTTACATGTTTGTGGTGATGTGGGTGTGTACAATTATGTACAGTGCATAACAATCGATGAAAAGAATAGATGCTGATGTTAATGTTTTATGTATTTAATATCCTATGTTTTTGATTTTTATTTTAGGGTATATGCTTACTTTTTTTTTTTTTTTAAATTAACTGTGAAGCAGCCTCGGGCAGGTCCTTCAGAAGGTTTCCAGAAGAAGGTATTATTATCAAGGAGATGACAGCCCCATGCCTATTACTGCCCCTGAAGACCTTCCAGTGGGACAAGATGTGGCGGTAGAGGACAGTGAAATTGATGATCCTGACCCTGCTTAGGCTTAGGCGAAAGTGTATGTTTGTGTCTTGGTTTTTAACAAAAACGTTTTAAAAGTGAAATAAATAAATAAATAATGAATAAAGCTCATAGAATAAGGTTAAAAGGAAAGAAAATATTTTTGTATAGCTATATAATTTGTGTGTTTTTCTGTTGATCTGTTTGAGACAGGGTCTCACTCTGTCACCCAGACTGGAGGGCAGTGGCACAGTCACAGCTCACTGTGGTCTCAACCTCTTGAGCTCCAGAGATCCTCCCACTTCACTCAGGAGGACGCCAGTCCTGCAGGCAGACATCAGGCCCCAGACGGACCCTGGATTCAAGGTGTACACCAGGCCCCAAGTTGACAGCTAGGCCCCAGATGGACACCAAGGCCCTAGGTGAACAGCAGGCCCATTTGAACACCAGACTCCTGTGGACATCAGGCCGCAGGTAGACACGATGCCTTAGGTAGATACATAGGCTCCAGGTGGACATTAGACCCAAGGTACACAGCCAGTTCCCAGGAGAACATCAGGCCCAGGTGAAAACTCAGGCCTTAGGCGCACATCCGGCCTTAAGTAGACACCCAGACCCCAGGTTGATACCCAAGTCCCAGGTGATCACCAGACCTCAGGTGGACACAAGGCCTTAGGTTAACAACAAGACCCAGTAAGCCATCAGGCCCCAGCTGGATATAGTCCCCAGGTGAACACAAGGCCCCAAAAGGAACATAGGCCCAAGGCAGACATCAGGCCCTAGGTGGACATCAGGCCTGAGGAGGACATCCGGCCCCCGGTGAACATCAGGCACAGGTGTCCAAGCAGGCCCTGGGTGGACATAATGGTGTCTAGGTAAGGAGTTGTCCTGGGGGGAGGGTGAGCAGTCAGCAGCCCAGTGGAGTCCTGAGTAGGACTTATGGAAGAAAGGGGCCAAGGGGACGGAACCTTAAAGAAGCGACCTCACTTCCTCGATGACACATCCAACAGAACTTAGAACTCTGGTAACCAGGCGCTGAGATCCTAGGGTCAGCCCAGTAACCAGCTCACTTGGTGGGAGACGCTCGAGAGAGCAAGATGTTCTCGTGTTGCTTCCCCACTTCGAGAGGCTGCTGCTTCAGGAATGGAGGGAATGAGAGCCTTTTCCGCCGATGCCGAAGAAGGCTCATCCCTCACCCCAGACGCCTGTGGCCCTTTGTAAGAAGGTGCACCCGGGTACCACAGGGCAGCCCGGGGCAGGCCCTAGTGGGCCAGGCCACACCAGAGATCCCATCGGGGCTGCATCTGCACACTGCCCTCCTCCAGGAGGAGATTCGGGAGCCCATGGAGGCACAGGCACAAGGTGAGGTGGCCTGCAGTCTGGAAGATTTTGTAGGGGCAGTGTTTAGGGGCTGGAACTCCTTTAAATTCAGTGAGGTTGTTTCTGTGTTTGGAAATTCCAGTGGAAAGTGACTGACGCTGCGGACCCTTTCTCCTTTTTCAGCTCCTGGTCCATTTGAAGAAATAGAAGCACTTCCAGCACCAGCTGTTGAGCCAGAGCCAGCATGGGAAGAGCCCCCTCCAGAGACAGCGCTGGTGGAGGGAGCTCTGGCCAAGGACCAACCCAATGAGGGGCTGCCTGAAATTATGGCACCTGCTGTAGCCACTGACCTTAGCCTTGCAACTGAAAACGCGGCTGTAGAGGGAAGTCGGAGGGAGGGGGTGACCAACACAGCCCCAGCCAGCAGCTCCCATGCTGCCCCTAGTCCTGGGCACGGTGGCAAACATGGAGGCGGAGACCAGGGTTTTGAGCCTGGGCTCCTCTACCTCGCTGGAGAGAGGCTTGTGTCATTCACTAGAGCTGCAGTCCTGCTGCTGCAGGGCCTGTTTATTCTACTGCTGCTGTTGGGGTCCATCTGTGTGCAGGAGGTGCTTGAGGGCATTAAAAGAAGGCTGAGAGGAAGAATTCCAGTAGCTCCTCCTGCACCCAGAGGCGGCCTCCTCCTCCAGGGATGGATGTCTGTCCACAACTGGGCATCCGGGCTGTTTGCCCCTGTCATGCTGCCCAGGACAGGCTCTTAAAAGGCGGGCAGAGGGTGAGGGGACCAGGAGGCAGCTCCAAAGGGTACAGCAAGCAAAGCTTTTAAAGATAGCACTTGTGCCCCAGGCTGTCCATGCCACCACCTGCCCTAGCATTTATTAGTAGTGTTAGAATTACTAGTTGATGAAACAATATTTCAATAAAGTTTAATTTCTGAAACTTTGTGCCTTTTTGAACTCCCTAATGTTAGATGGTGTTTTTGAGGCGATCCTGAAAATCTCTGATAGTTGTGTCTTTTGTTGTGGTTGTTTGTGTGATTGAATTACCATGGAGTCAACTGTTATTGGAAACCTTTCAGGTATGGCTTTTAGAAGACCTTGACCTACTCTTGCCTGTTTTGACTCTCTGGTTTATTGTGGAAAGAGGGATGATGTAGGCTCATGTCTCTGGCAGATCAATCACCTTTTGCCATCAAGGATTTGGCATCAGAGTTTCCAAGAATTATGTGTGCAAGTTGACATGCTGGCACTTTAGCTAATCTGGGTGTCAAAACAGAATGCCATAGACTAGGTAGCATAGAAAATTGATTTCTCACAGTTCTGGAGATGGCAAAATCCAAGGTCAAATGCTCAGAAGATTCCATGTCTGCAGAGGGCTGGCTTCCTGGTTCAGAGATAGCCATCTTTTACGGTGTCCTTACATGACAGAAGGGATGAGGGAGCTCTCTGCAGTCCCTTTGATAGGGGCACCAATTCCATTCATGAGGTCCCTGCCTTCATGAACTTAATCACCTCCCAAGGCCCCACCTACAAATACCATCACAGGGAATTAGAATTTGACACATGAATTTGAGGAGGACAGTAACATTTGCTTTACAGAATCAGGTCTCCCCGAGCCATATGCACTCACAGGAAACCTATAATCTTCTATTAAGTATTTGCTGGTCCCCTTTGGGATTAGGGAATTTTTTTTTCTTTAAGAAAAATGATCTTTCATATGATCCATGGTTTATTCATAGAAAAGCACTATGAGTTCACACACTTGCTAAAAAGAAGGGCAATGGTGACACAAAAATGGCAGTGACCTCTCTCTGTCTCTCTCTCTCTCTCTCTCTCTCTCTCTCTCTCTCTTATTTAACCAACCCATTGGGCTGAGACGTTGTAGGGGCGCTTGGCTGGGCAGTAGGACTTGAGTAGTCACAAGCGGCAAATACATCTTTTTGGTCAGCTTGGAGTAGAAAAGGTGACAGTTTGTCAACGAAAGAAAAAGTAAAGCAGATGGAGAAGTTCTTAGTTCGCTTTCTAGCTATACCACCTCTTCCCTATGAAACCCCACCCCCAAATCAGGAACTAAGACATAAAAGAGTAAACACCAAGGCACTGGTAACCAACTGACTCTTCTGAAGGCCCTTGCTATCTCCTACAACAATTCCAGGCTGAGCAGAGGGGTCAGGAAGGTGGCAGGAACACGATGATTCCCTGTGGAGGTCAGCCAGGGCTAAGACAGGGCTGCTCACTAGGGCTAGAAATTAGGAAGGAGAGGCTAAGTGCAGACCAGCCCTAGCCTCCAAGTCAGCAAGCAATGAGATTGCGACAAAAACAGGCAGAAGAAGCCTGAGGTAGAAAGGCAGGGGAAGAAAGCAAGTATGGGGTGAGAACAGAACTGTGCAGCGAAAGCAGCCAGTCTGATGGCAGACGGAGACTGGTGCTTAGAAGCTCGTTTGGGGAGAGAATGAATAGAGGAGGCACAGAGATGGGGAACAGACATTTAGCTGGTGAGAGAGATTTAACACGAATAGGAAGAGAAATCTCGCACAAAGGACACATTCATGCAGATCCTCTAAGATGAACATGCAGTCATTCCTACATGTAGAAATACGCTCAGTTACACATATAAAACCACAGATGCATGGAGAGCAAGCATATACACAGACACATATTTCTACACATGTGCTCATGTGTGCCCAGATACACACACACTAAACATACAAAACACAAGAGCATTTACACATAGATATGCATCCTCACATGAATGCAAATGTTACATCCTCACACACAGACCCACAGTTCAGTGTACACATATCCACACAGGTACGCAGTCATCGAACAGACATAGATACACATAAAGATGTAATGTGCACATACAGACAGGCATGCGCAGTTATATCTATGCACATAGACACATGTACTCAGTCATACAGGTACACTCTCTAGCACAAAGGTGATCAATGTAGATAAATATTGTGAGCTCAGTGGCTTCCCAGACCTTCATCTTTTCCCTGCACTTGTTTCAAAGGTGCTCAGCAGACTCCTGGCGAGGCTGTGTGAGGCAGGGGAGGAGCTTCAGAGTCCTCACAGGTTTGTGAGGCAAAAGTCTAAGTCCAGTCCTGGCCTCTGCCGTTCACCCACCACTGGGCTATTAATGCTTTGTCTGTAGGTGAGAGATTTTGCATAGACTAGTCTTGGGATATTTTCTAACTGATCGTTTTTCTCCTTGGCACCCCCACTATCCCACTGGGAACGGCATACACTCTGCAAGGGAAACCTGAGAAATGGTTGTGAGTCTCCTCAGACAATAAGCATATCCTCCACCCACAGCTACCTCAAGTGCCCATCAAATCAGAACCAGAATTATAAATATTTATGACTTTACAATAATTGGCAACACATATACTATAGTATTTACAGTACCATAAATGCATCTGTTTTCTGGTACAGCAATCTCTGAGATGGAACAGTGTTCTGTGTTTGCCAAGAGAGACAGGGCCAATGCCCAGGACACACAGGACGTAGGGACAAAAGGTGACATATCATGGGGTTTCTGGTCGATCTGCAGGGCCCAGCTTCTCCATGAACAGTGGGCTGTAGTGAGAAGCTTGCCAAGACAGGCATATTGACTGGAATTGGACTCTCCCCATCCTTAGCCCTGTGGTCCTTTGGCCTCAGCCACAGGTGCTCAGAGTCCTCTCAGGGTGCACAAATGTTTCAGTGTTTTTGACCTGACCTGATACTTCCTGGGGACCCAGCCTGCGGGGCCAGTGAGCTACCTGCTTTCTCAGCCAAAGGGCTCTCGAAGCAGCAGCATCAGCTTTTTCTTGCCTTTGTAGATCTGTTTGAGATTGTCGATGAACTGGGCAAATTGCAGGTAGCCATCCTGGGGCAGCAGGAAGGTCTCCCGAGCCTTGCTTAGAAACTCAATAAACTCCATACCGGCAATGGCTGATGTGTGTTGGGTGTAGTGTGGGGTGTTGATGTAAGCATTGATGGTGGCATCAGCAACTGGCACAATGGAGCTCTGTCAGTGGAGATGAGCTTTCCAGAGCTGTGGCGGCCTGGGATGCTGACCAGGCCAAGTGCAGTCACCGTGCAACCTCACACACAGGATGTCTGAAAGCACCATGGCAATGTGCACACTCTTCACCACCAGGGGGATGAGAACTGCCAGATCATTCTTTCCCAGAGAGTGGCTGAGGGCACAAACTCAGAGCACGTCATTGATGGCTGCGCGGGTATCCTGGTTAAGAGCCGGGTTAAGATGGCTCATGGCCATGAGGCCAGCTTGAAGGCACGGAGCGTGCAGCCACGGAGCTGCGCATAGCAGGCAATGGGGAACAGCTGGGAATGGGCCGTGCCACCGGCAGCAGCCTCAGTGGCAATCTGGCAGGCGGCCTCAAAGGCAATGTGGTCTTTCTCAGAGTGTAAGGGCTGACAGGGCACAGCTCTGTGGATGCTTCATAGCACGCTGCAAGGCCAGTGTGCAAGCACAGCTAGCCAGTTCCTCCCGCTGTGGATAATCAAGACTGAGGCGCGGGATAGTGGTGTGGGATACGGCTGTGGCAGCTACAATACTAGTAGCCTCAGTAGGGGTGAAGAGTGTGTCCCAGCTCTGCAAGATGCTCACTGGGGCCCACACACCTGTCAGGCCAGTGCCTGAGCTCAGCCGTGGCCATCTGGGTCCTGATTCAGGTCTGCCCAGATTACCATGTGGGGTTTGAACTTGGCCTGCAGAGATGAGTTCTCCTTCCTCCTCAGCAACCTTGAGATGATCTGAGGCAAACCAGGGCAAGGAGGCATCCCAGGTGGCCAGACCCTGCTTGGGGTCTCTTCCTATCCCTTCCGTCCCCAGGCCAGAGGGTTGAAGGTTTCTGCAGGTGCTCTTAGCCCCTCACAAGGATGGAGCAGTAGAGCCTGGGGTTTGCTTGCCCCGAGGCCAGGGTGGCGGATCTGCCAGGAGTTCTAGCTGAAGTGGGGCCTCTCGGGGTTGAGTCTTGTGCTGGTCTTTGGGCTTTAGAAAAGGTCCTGAGCCAGCCGGGCGTGGTGGCTCACACCTATAATCCCAGAACTTTGGGAGGCTGAGGCGGGCGGATCACAAGGTCAGGAGATCGAGACCATCCTGGCTAACATGAAACCCCGTCTCTACTAAAAATACAAAAAAATTAGCCAAGCATGGTAGCAGGCGCCTGTGGCCCCAGCTACTTGGGAGGCTGAGGCAGGAGACTGGCGTCAACCCGCAAGGTGGAGCTTATAGTGAGCCGATATTGCACCTCTGGACTCCAGCCCGGTCGACAGCACGAGACTCCGTCCCGCGAAAAAAAAAAAAAGAAAGTGTCCTGAGCCTCCAAGCTGTCTGGGGTTTCTCACAAGCATGGACAGGAACGGGACCAAGCCACCAGGCCCACATGCTCAAACCACAGTGGCTGGCCTTGGGAATTAACGGGTAGTCTTGACCGGGCGTGGTGGCTCACGCCTGTAATCCCAGCACTTTGGGAGGCCCAGGTTGGCAGATCACGAGGTCAGGAGATGGAGACCATCCTGGCCAAGATGGTGAAACGCCGTCTCTACTAAAAATACAAAAAATTTAGCCAGGCGTGGTGGTGGGTGCCTGTAGTCCCAGCTACTCAGGAAGCTGAGGCAAAAGAATGGCGTGAACCCGGGAGGCTGAGCTCGCAGTGAGCCAAGATCGCGCCACTGTACTCCAGCCTGGGTTGCAAAGCAAGACTCCATCTCCAAAAACAACAATAACAACAACAAAAACAAACAAA